TCCTTCTCCAACAGTAAGAGATTACTAGTCTCTCAAGGACTGCATAATTCATGGTAGTGCTTACTTTCAATTGAAAGTACTGGAGCAGCAGTTCCTTTTTTACTGCCTGAGAGGCCAGCTGATCTCTTACTAAAGGGGAAACTTTGCTAAACAAAGGAAGTAATTTTAAAAGAAGAAAATAACATCTGTCTACAGATATGTGGGGAGGGAAAGAAGAAACGTGAAAATGGAGATAGTGGGGAAAAAAAGATTTAAAGTTTAGAAAGCTGAAAAGAAAGTCCATGTGGGATCAGAGGCAGCATATCCAAGTGGCAGACTAAATGTAGAGAGACATAATGGGAGTAAGTATGGGGAAGTGAGGAAGAGTGTATATAAAATGAAGCACAGGAAAAAGGTATAAAACCCCAAAACTAATTTAGAGATTAAGACACTGCTGCATCACCCCACTGCCAGTAGAGGTGCTAAAGCCACGGCTATGGAACACAGTAGCAAAATGCTCAAGGGAAGAAGTAATTCCTATATTTAGATAGGTAGAGTATTTCAGTATATGAACAATAGTGCAGTGCAGCTATCTAGAAGCCATCCATTTAGGAATTAATTTCTATCTGTATCTGTAGCTGAAAACAAAAAGACCTTCAGCAAGCGACAGAAGAGGTTCCCTGAAAAAGCGCTGCAGCCAGTCTGGGAACAGCACAAGACACTTCTGGCCATGCAGCCAGAGAACAAGGAGACCAGCAGGTACCAGTTGGCAGCTGGGGCACAATAAAACCGTTCTACAAGCTGAGCCAAGAATAATCTTCTTTAAAAGTGCTTTGCTACTTACAAATGTTGCTCTTGTCCAAGTGTTTTGTGTTTGCCTCAGCGCAGTTCCAGTCCTTTTTTTTTTCTTTCTTTCTTTCTTTCTTTTTTTTAAGCTAATTAGAGGGTTATTGTAAACCAAAGGGGATTTCTGGGAGCTCTTTGGGTTTGTAAATCATGCAAATGACAACACTGTGATGTTGGATCATATTATTAATTGTATGTTTTGCAGTTCACATACTCTCAAGCATATGTGTGAAACAAGTTTTTCTTTTTTTTTTCCCCCCAGATCTTGAGCACAATAAGTTTCCAAAAAAGTTCTCAGGCAGATTGCTAAATTATTTTTCTCAATTTTCTTAATGTTAAAGAAAAGTATAATTTCAATGCTGCAGAGTATTCTGTGCTGATAGATTTACAACACTGTGCATGTACTATGAATAAAAAAACTTCACACATTATTATATTTAAAGCTGGAGCCCTTTCTGTAAAAAAGTACTTACCTTCTAGGCTGATTTGTGATTTTGCCTGAGGTTCTGTAAACCTGGATGAAAAACTCTTTTGCTACAGGAAACTGGTTCGTAACTAAATAAATAACACTATAATCTAAGTATTGAACACTTCCACACAGCATGTTATTTAGCAAAGCATTCCTCTTCCTGCAGCATAAAATGGAAATACTCTCTCTATAAATAAATAATACCCTGAATATTATATCAATATGCAACATTTACAAACATGACAATTTATGCCTCAACTGCCAATTTCTGCAGCTAATTCTGTCAATTTTCACACTGTGTCCATTACAAATGGAATTCCCTTTGCATTAGGAGACACATCTTTCATTGATTCAGAAAAATATATTTGTGTTTCTTTCTTATGTTGGTAGGGTGACAATACAATTGTCATACCACATTTAGCCCAATAAAACAAAATAAAGAACTAAGAGGAAGCTATCATACAGGTTTTGTTGATTGGACATTTGGAACGTCCAGACATATACATGTCCAAAGGCTAAAATTTACACCTCAGGCAGTCTATATGACTGTAAATCTAACTTAGATACAGGTAGTATAACAGCTTTGCCAAACTGTGGTGTCAGTGTCACATTTTTGCGCCAGGAGGAGTCCAAACTACTTGCTTTCTTTTTGCTGGGGAATCTGCAGTTTTAACCACTAATTATCCTGCTCTCATGAAACCTTTTTATAAAAGTCTTTCTCCATGTACTTTTTGCAACAATAGCCATGCAGAGACACAACAAGGACAGACTTAAACATTTTTAATGCTGGATCATCTGTTGATGCATAATATTGATCCGAATGTCAAATTTAGCTGGTCATTAAGAAGGGAAAGACCCAGTAGAATAATTCAGAAACCTGTGCGTGCATAGGTTTCTGATTTAGACTGCAAATGTCTTAAAGAACGTCTACATTTTAGTCTATTTTGTCAAATGGTTGCAGAGAATCATTGCTGTGGGGAATCACTCTCAGCTGATGTGATATTGAGAACCGGAGGGATTCTGCCCTCGGTAGCTATCTGCTGATTTTTGTGTATTTTTGAGTAGTGGGCATTGCCCACGAAAACACTTTCACCTTCAATGATTAGAGTGACCTGCTGGGTAGCTTTTCTTCTCATTATTTTTTTTCACCAATTTTTGTCACTATTACAGTGAATGGTGATCCATTGGAATCTGAGATTGGCAAGATCTGGATTCCCAGGTTTCATTACTTCCCTTATGATGTTTGCTCTAACACTGCTTAGGTTAATACAAATGTAGTGAGCTCTGAATTCACTCACCATGTGCATTCATGCCACATTGTTTAAGAAATCACGCAGCTGCTTCCTGTCTCACTCTGCCAGGGGTGCCTGCACGGTGCTCTGCTGCTTTCCTGCCTCTGAGACCCTGTTCTCCAGGTGCTACTGTGTCAGATATCTACTCCTAATGGGAGCTCACTTCTGGAGGAATTTTAGTCTTCCTTTTCTTTTTAAAGGACTGGATAAGGGCTGGCGAGGTGATTTCTTATGTTACTACCAGGCTGAGCATCTGGGGAAGAAAGAAATTCTATCTCTGTGTATCTTGACATGTTGGAATTCTATTTTTTTCTTTAGAAGTATGTTGTTTCATGTTGGAAATACAAAATAGAATATATGAGCAATTGCAGATACCTTTCATTTCTTTAGCAAAGACTTTCAGTTTTAGAGCTTTCTCTCCCCTGTATAAGATAATCATGCTAGCNCGGTTTATAAAAAAGGACACTGTATTTACATTAATGAAAATTTCTTATTTTCTTATTCCAATCAAGGACATTTAGTGTCTCAGTGTAGGGTAGGTTAGTGTAAAATAAATCCTTTGTTTTTAGGTTACTTGTTTAATTGTGGCTATGTCAAAAAATAACAGGAGCTGTTTTCATGGAACATATGATTACTAGTTTATATGTGTTCTTATTCAGTTTCTGTCTGGAAAGATGTTTACTACATAAAAGCATCCTCAAACTTGAGGACACTTTTTGGCTTTTTTAATGCAAAAAGATTAACTAAATGTGGACCTCTAGACACTCTAGTGGGACAATATAGGAAGTTTCTCTAGCTGGAAATTCTGATGGGCTGAGGACTTAAATCCTCTGAGCAATCAATCCATTGGCTTTTACAAATGCTTAGGGAAAAAAGGAAATATATTGCTGGAAAAGAGGAAGAAACCTTGTTGCAGGATATGTAATGGCCAAATTCAAAACAGACATATGTTTGGTGAAGTCCTATGTACCATTGGAATTGTCTGAGCAGAGCAAGTGAAAGGAAGAAAGAAACCAGAAATTAATACTTTTCTTATAACAAATGGATTTTAATGGAAAACCTCAATGAGGAAAGAAAATGTGTTCTGATTGTGATTGCTCTTCTGCTGAGAAGAACAAGACTTTTGCTGAATAGCTTCTTAACTTTAGTGTTAATTCAGCAGGTCTAGTATGAGAGAAATCCTTGGGAGAAGCATTGTTTCATTACATGTGCTGATTTATGACAGAGAATCAGCTGTATTTTAATGATGTCTGAACTAGACTGTAAATATAAACTAGGACTCACAAATATGAGAAAACCTCATTTGTGGTTAATGTACTAGATAAATTGTTCCTTGCTTCTTAGGGTGTGACTATACTTGCTGTCACACTCCTAAGTTTACTCAAGAATTGCGTGATTTGCTGAGTAGGTGTCATGTAAGGGAAAACCTGATGGGATGGATTTTATATACCTGTTTCTTCCCCCAGTGTCATGTTGACAAAAATCTTTTCTGTTCCTTTTTTCTCCCCTTCATCAAAGGAAAATCCCCTCAAGGCTGAAGGCAAATCATAGTAGCAAGGAAAATGACCACCAATAATCTTAGCAGTATGAAATTCATCATGGTGATTTTGTTTCAGTGAGAAGAAAACACCAGTTACTGGCTGTCGAAAAATGCTAAGTCGAACCTTAACTTCACAGGCAGCAGCTTTAAAATCTATTTAATATTTTTATTTCTTCAGTTAAGCTGTTTCCTTCTCCAGTTAATAGCAGGCTATGGGATTAAATCCTAGCTTTTGACATTTACTGGGAAATGTAGTATAACAATTTATGAGTAAAAATGTACTTTGAATAAATTATCATTGCAAATTACAGTTTATGAACGTTGTGACTATATCCATTATTACAACATTGGCTGTGCACAATTTGAAATCTTACTTGCTGAATAAATTTGTTTCATTCAGATTGCATTCCCAACATTTTTAGAAAAGAATGAATCAAGCCTCACCAACAAAATTTCCTACAGAATCTGCTAAAAAATTCACCTTTGTTTGCTAAACTTATCTAAAACATAAACATTTCTTGGATTAGTGAGATGCTATTTTAGTCTGTTATGAGAGTTTCCTATTGAAGTTTACTAAACTATAGACTCATAAGAAGATTCACAAGAGCTTCTGTATTATGCCATGCCTTTAGCTATCCATATGTCTTAAAATTGTTACAGTTAAAATTGATTCTGCAAGCTGTTAGGAAAGAAACAGCCAGTAGCCAAAATTAGGTATAATACTGTAAACTGGGGAGGGAGAGAGAGATTTAAAGCTCTGTCTGGCAAGAGAAGGGTTAAGGACTTTTTTGCTATACCCGTTTCAAATTACAATGAGAAGCCTCTTCTTTCCCAGCAGGGTTGTGCTTACATTAGTCTTTAGATCTCTCTTGAAGAGAGCTGTTATATTTGTGCCTGCTACAGTTGGAAATAACAGTTCAGAAGCTGAAAAGGGTTGAATGGATTTACAGAAGGTTATTTTTTGCGAGTAAATTCATGGCAACACATTAATTTGATTAGTACATGCTTTAGAATTACTTTACACTCAAGCGATTCAAACGATGTTAAAGTTATCACCAGGCTGCTGGACAAACATGTGTTACACCACCAAGGTACAGATCAAGACAAATCTGTGACTCAGGATTTTATCTTGGGAAGAGCGCAAGGTGTACGAAGAACTCAGAATAACAAGGGAAGATAACTCTGGGAACTACAATGTGTCAGAAGAACAGCTCTTGCTAATACAGCTCCCCACCAAAGACCTGGTTATCTAAGGTTTATATAGGAATGCCTAGGTCAGCTGACAAAATACTGGTCTTCTGCTCCATAAATGCAGAAAAACCGATAACAACAGTGGAAAATTGGAAGTCTGAATTTCAGCTTTCTTAGAAATAACTGCAACCTGACACATTCCATAATATTTAAACAGGGTGGGGGGAGAGGAATCACCAAAGATGTTACGTTTAGAGATGACATTGACATGAAGAATAGGTAAATTTTGTTTTTCAGCTACTGGGAAAGCAGACCTCATAGGAACTCAGAACAAGTAGGAGAAAAGATTTTTTTTCTTTGTTCTTTTTCTTTTCAAAGATGAACCTAACTGCACTCAAAGCTTTCGTGGGCTTGCTCTGGAATTGCTGGGTTCTGGTGGGTCACGCACAGGGAAGTTTAGGAGACAATCATGTCCATTCGAGTTTTATTTACAGGAGGCTGCGGAACCATGAGAGAAGGGAGATTCAGAGAGAGATTCTCTCTATCCTGGGTTTACCTCACAGACCCAGACCATTTTCACCAGGAAAGCAGGCTTCTTCTGCACCCCTCTTCATGCTGGACCTGTATAATGCCATGACAAATGAAGAGAATACTGAGGAGCTGGAGTATTCACTAAAGGGATCAATGGCAGGGGAGAGCAGAGGGATACAGAAAGGATACCGTGCCTCTCCAAATGGATATTCACGGAGAATACAATTATCTCGCATGATCCCCCTGACCACACAGAATCCTCCCTTAGCCAGCCTGCACGACACCAACTTTCTGAATGATGCTGACATGGTCATGAGCTTTGTCAATTTAGGTACGTGTAATTTTTTTTGTTTCTACTCTCTTTGACAAACTGTTAGCTAGATCTTGTGAGGGGCAAACCTCCCGGCCAGACTGTAACCTGTTCTAAAACGGCAGGATCAGGCCCGGGCTGCTGTGCCACTGGTAAAAGAAAAATCATACTGATGGTGAAGTAGCTACGTTGTAGGTGGCCATGGAAAAAGGATTTTTCTCACTGTTTATATAAAGTCAGTTTCTATAACTCCCCTCTGCTGGCTTCTGTTTTCTTTCTTTCATTGATGTAATGAAAATTCTAGCCTTAGGCCAACTAACTCCTTTTTTTTTGTAATCTCAAAAAATCAAACGCTTATGCCTATTGCTCAGTTATTTCCCCCACTGTTTTCCTTAAAGCTCACACACGAACAAGCATCAGTTGTTAATATTTTAAAGCCTAGAAAATCATGAAAAGGGAAAAGTTAAGCCATTTAAAAAAAAATTCTTAGGTTATTTAGTGGGTTTTTTTCTGTTGGTTAGAGTCAGAGTTTTATTATCTTTTCAGCTGGATGGCTGGATTTTAAATAATCTAAGGTTACTATTTCTTTGTTATTTCTATTTAATAACTACAGACTGTATTTTATTATACTGCCATGGTGCTCAGAGTCTGCAATGGTTCTTATTTTCTGTGTCATAAATAAATTAAATAACAAGTAAAGTATTAAACACCAGAAAAATGCAAGCAAATAATGCTTTTGAAAATTATATCAATTCAGACACAAAACCTGATAAAACTAAATTAGATTGGCTTCTGAGTATAATAAACATGCTTACCAGTTACAGTGTAGTTAAAAAAAGCAGCTATGGATTTCTTTACTAAAAGGCAACTTAAATCTCATTTAGAAAGCTGCAAATAATTCATGGAATGCATTTACTGTTTTTATAAGTGTTTTAAATGCTGCAGGACTCATAAATTTGGCTAAAAAACCCTTCTCATTTGACCTGAACAGCAAGAAATTTAATTGAAATCTTGAATTTTCTCAATAAACTGGTACAAAATCTGATGAACTCTTGTTTTCCAGGATAATACTTTCAGTACAACAGTACATGTTCCAAAATACTTTCAGATTATCACACACATTCTGTACCTTTTATGTCTATCATGTCTTTGATCCTTGCTGCAGAATTAAAAATCTTCCCAAACACTAAAGTCCTCAATAATTTAAATTTCTAGGAAAGTGACACACTATAGTTTAGTTCTCGTATTAATAAAGTCACTTTTCATTAATTTTTTGGCAGATAAGGAGGTGTTCAATTTTGAGATCTTTTTCCTTAAGGGTAACATACATCCACACCTCTAAATACATTTGCTTCTTGCTCTCGCTCCTGAAATAGCAGGCTAGGAAAAAATGGAATCTGTTTTTTTTGAAAATGTGTTCCTTGTCCTTAAGAAACAGTTACATATTACCCATGAATTACTTTTAAGTCAACATTGCATTCCTTGATTTACCCAGATTATCTGGAGTCAGCTGAATTTAAAATGGCAACATAATACAGGAAAATAGGAAATGCTCTGATCTCCGCAGCATTAGTCAAGGCGCTGATTCTGCAAAAATTTTTCTTGTGTGTCCTGAGAAATACCCTCTCTAAGTATGTCGCAGAGCATTCAATCAGCAGCCCTGAGGACTATTTATGTGGGACCCAGCCTTTGATTTCACAAAATGTCTTTTATTTCAAGAAGACTTCTTCCAGTGAATAAGTAGAAGTCTTTGAAGCTCAATGTCAGATATGTCCTAGGCTGATCCTTCTGCACTTCCTCAGGCAAAAAGCCTGTCTGGAAGAATGCAGGTTTCCACTGAGTGTCTTACCTTGGGTGGGAAATTTCTAATATTTGACTCATTTTTTTGGGAAGCCAGTATTGCCTTAAGAAAGTAATTCTGAGAAGCTAAAGCATATCTTATGTTTCTAAACGGTGAAAACTGGGGGTAAGATGCTGTATTTTTCAAGTGATTATGATTAATAGACACCATTAACTTATAAGAAAATACTGTGTAAATCTCAGGTTTTATTGAGCATCTGTAAAATTAAAACGTGTCTCAGCTCTAAGTTAGTCTAAATCCTAATTCACTTTAAATGCCCTTCCATACATGTTGGATATTGTGGTTTATCACACATTCTGCCATGTAACGTGTAAAAAATATTGATGACCAATATAGATTAGCTTCAACATTTTTATTAAACAATCCTATGTTTCAGTATAATTAACATTAAAATGAAGTAAATCACGGAACTAAGTGATCATTTTATATGATTTATGCAGTATAAGGTTGTGACAGATGAGAGCAAGCTCTTTTAATGTAGAATGGGGAAAAATATGCAGTGATAAGTGAATGCTAACGCTATACCTTAAAATCAATAAATGCTGATGCAGCATAGTAATAACTCAACTGGTTTTAGATTTGAAACCTTGGTCAACTTGCATCAACTTAATGTGCACTGAAAATAGTATTTACCATGTTCATACTTGCACACAATTAATTACAGAAGGTGTAATTATAAAACTCTATTAATCATCATGATATTTTAAATTGAAACTTTTGTATATAGTTGTAGCCAGTCATAACAATTTAAGACATATGTACTAAAACAATAACTATGTAGCTGAGATGTTAGATAGGAATTATTAAGCAAAAAATTGAAAAGACTGAATAAGATTAAAAGGTAAAGTAAAAAAATAGACAAGGACAAATAATTTTATATTAAAGAATAAAAATTGAAACTTATATGCTAATTTTGATTAAAAATCAAGCTGTCAGAGTTGCAACTGCCTCACTTTCAAAAAAAAAAATTAGAAAATAATCATCAAGGGAACTTCAATCATAATTCTGTCAAGCAATCAGGGAGAAAAATAAGAATGCATTTACTTCTCCTGAAGTTAAAATTATAAACACCTGTTCTTTCTACTGGAATTTATATCAGAATTTCCATCTCTTTCTTTCTTGAAAGATACAACAAGACAGAGATTATGTCTTGTCCTGTGTTTTGTATAAGACTGTGTGTGTTGGCAACTCTCCATAAATATTGATGAGTGTAACAGAGGAGTTAACTGGGTTTGGTCCAGCAGTCAAAGAATAAATCCTCCACTAAACACACTGGGGTTTTCAAAGATCTGATTATATCACCTACAAATTCAGAACTTTGTTTTCCTCACTGGCTGTTTTTTTATCCTGTTATTATATTTTATTATATTATTGCAAAGCCCTGACTGTTTAGAGTTCTGGCATCTTCTTTTTGGCTGGTCTCCCAAAATGACATATATAGGATACCCTGTTCCTCAGAGAACAGGCAAATAATATTCATGTAGTCCTACTCACTTTTCCACTCACTCAAAATTTAGTAAGGGAAGGACTTTTCTAAGATAAATGTTAGTGTTCGCACTCTTCACCTCTCACCGAAAGAGGGGGATTTAATAAAAAAACATGTACACATCTGAAGCTTGGAGAAACAGTAGCACTTTTGTAAACTACATTTAAACATTTCAAATATTGATTTTTCCATTGTCGTCAAAGTGATCATTAAATCCACTATGCTTAAGTGTTCCTTTTCATGCAATTCAAATGGTCTGTATTGTCATTTGTTTACAACACATCTGTCAATTTTTCTTCTAGCAGATTGTTTCATTAGATAAGCAAGTCTATTTGCTTTCTTCACATGTTCCTGTTAATTGATATGAACCTTCTATAAAATAGGGGATAAATACATACAAGTTTTGTGGTTTTCTGTTATGTTTTCTTTCTTAGCATATAAAATTAATCTTAAAAACATGAAATAAAATTTGTGACCCTGCCCTACATAATGCTAAGAAGGGTACGATATTATTGAGGTTTTTAAAGTAACTGGTACACTCCAGAAAGACAGCTTTTCTTCTTCACACATAATGTGATTCCACAATCATATAATCCTCAAGACACATGTGCTGCGTTCAGTTCTTAAATCAGACGCTGAAATCAATGGAAATTTTGGTCTGAGGCGCAGAGGGCTGTTCATATTTCTCCATCTTCTCTACCCCAAGTTTGTACAATGTCTTAAAGTTCATATTCTTTTTTAAAACCTGAATCACTAAGCAAATACATAAATTCAAAAGATTTACAGCCCATTGTGTACATTGGAGAATGCTAATAGGGCATAGAACAACTTTTTATACAGCTACTTTGAGAAGTCTATAATATATTGATCCACAACAAATACCTGCACAAATATATTTTTGTTATATATAAAAAAGAAAGGATTCTTAACTGCGATCAGACCTTGAGCATATATAGTAGCTTAATTCTTAAATTAAACTAATTCAGTTTCTACAACCTTCCACTCACAGCTAACATATCATCAGCGAGGGATATGGAGTGCTAAACTATAAAATGCCAGGAGCTGTGGAAGGGGAGCTGGGATCATTAACTTTTCTCCTCAAAGCTTAGAAATGAACATATTTTCCTTCTTTCTTTTCCACCGGATTTCAGATGTTGCTGTCGTAATTTTAACTGAAGGTGAATTTCCTTGTCTGTAGTACAGTTTTAGTTTGTAAAATGCAGACTTCTAATGAAAATATTGACACAGCCTTAACTGAAGTGATAGAAATAGTGCTATTATCTTGCCTTGAGCAGAGGGATGCTATTACAGAGATAAAACTTGTTAAATAACAAATAGACCCCATGTCTTTAATTTTGGAATGGGAGCAATACTGAGAAAAAAATGAGAAAACATTTGTGAAGTTTTTTTGAACGGCAACCCAAAGTCATTAAGATGTCATTTTTCACTCTTTAACATAAAATTTAAAGCAAATTAGATCAAGCAGGTCTCATTTAACCTTCATCCAAATTAGATATCACTTGACATCTTGAAATCCTAAGATTTTTTTTCCCCTTAATAAAATTTTTGTCACCCAATCAGTGAGTAGAATGAATTTCTTGTGACCTAGATATTCAGTCAGACATTTGAAATAAATATTAATGATGAAATAATTTTCTATTATAAAATTAAATA